CAGTGCCACGTCAGACACAGTGACACGTCAGCTACAGTGACACGTCAGCAGTACCACGTCAGACACAAAGCCACGTAAGCAGTGCCACGTCAGACACAGTGCCATGTAAGCAGTGCCACGTCAGCAGTGCCACGTCAGACACAGTGCCACGTCCGACACAGTGCCACGTCAGCAGAGCCACGTCAGCAACATGACGGGCCTGCCGGGCCAACTGGCCAATGAGCCCATTGCCGACTACAAAAAGCGCTTCCATGCTCAGCTCGCTCTAATCGAGGCTGAGGAACAACGCCAGCTGGCAGCCAAGGCTGCCCAGCTACAGGCTGAAGAAGCGGCAACAGCAGAGAAGCTGCGGCTACAGGCTGAAGCAGTCGCAGATGCCCAGGCTCGCCGAAAGGAAGCCCAGGCTCTGCGGCAGCGGCATGAAGCCAACAGCATCGAGAAACTCAAGTACTGGCAGTTTGAACCGAACGGCGACGAGGCAACACCGGAAGAGCAGCATAAGGAGTTCATGGCCAAGCTCGTGAGCAGGTTGGTTTACACATGTAACCACCTACAGTCCGAGCTGGCAAACCTCCAGTGGGCCGTGCGGAATCAAAAGACTCAGCACGAGGATGCCACACGGGCACTGGCACCCGTGTACTGGACCTGGAACAGGCTGTACCAGGACCAGCTGCTGGGGCTTCCAGCAGTGCATCTCTAGCCGCCAACTGGAGGAACGCGTTGACCACGTAGTGGAAATGCTCGGCGACATCAGCACCTTCGTTGCGCCGACCACCATCAGCAGTCAACTGCATACATTGAAGACCGAGGTCCAGCAGTTGCAGTCGACGAACACAGATGACAATCCGAAGATGTACAAGATGCCAACTTTCCAACTGGACAAGTTCGACGACTACACACAGCAGGATCCGGTCCTCTCGTGGGAGGCATTCACGACGCAACTCAGGATTCTGCCTGTCGCCAAGCACGCGTACATCGGCGCCCTGTTCCTGAACTCAAAGGGCGGATGCCAGACCTGGTTGAGTCACCTGGCATCCTCTCACGGCGTCGACGTACCGGACTTGAAGGACAAAATCACATGGGAGGAACTAACACGGCTGTGGAAGAAGCGGTTCATCGTCGACGACACGCCGGCACTCGCCATCAACCGTTTGTTCACCATGTCACAGGGCAACACTCCAACACGGGATTGGCTCACGGGATTGGCTCACGGAGTGGCAGAAGATTGCGGCGGTGCCCAATCTGGAATTGGCATTCACGCATCTACGCCGTGAGTTCTACAACAGGTCCTGTGCGGCATTGAGTCAGGCTCTTGGTGGTCGCGAGCAGTACTCAACCTTTGTTGAGATCATTGACAAAGCAAGGGAGATCATCAAGACCAACAGGTCAGCTGCACACGAGAAGTCAACATGGCAGCCGACCTATGTGGAGAAGGTACAAACTGGTCCGCGACAGCAGCACTTCGCTGCAGTCCAGTCAGACAGTGGAGATAACCCAGCAGCCACTCCAGCATCAAGTGACGGAGATCAGTTGGTTGCTGTCCAGCCGCGAAGCAACAACAAGTCCCGCAATAATGGGAAGGCGAAATCCGCATCGCAGGCCGGAAATGGACAGCCAGTACAAGTTCCATGGGTCAAGTTCGGCTTGACCGAGGCGGAGTACAAGGTCCGCGGCCGCTACGGCAGCTGCTATTGGTGCAACAGCACCAAGCACAAGACCTCCCTGTGCCAAGATCAGGGCAAGGAGGATGTGC